CTCAAACAGTAGCCATCTCATCTGTTACCATTTCACCTACAACATCAACCATAATAATGTTTGTCAGCTTGTTAAATACTCCGGTTGTTCTCTCAGCAAACAGACCGTTTCATCTGAACGTTACATTATTAGTATTTCTAATGCCCTGGCTTACTTAGTTCAAACCATTCCTAAGCAATCACATACTGTCAAGAATCAACCTAAACAATCATTTAGGGAAATCTCTTGTATCACCAATACGATCTTTCACAAATCATACAATGACCCTTCTCTAATAATTCCACTCACTGATAACATCATTAATCTTCTTATTCAACTATCGATGCACTCACTCAAGCTTAAACATTTGCAATCCACCTTCATCAGTGCAACAGCCTTAACATTTTACACAGATGGCTCCTTAATAGGACCTCAGACGGACAACTGTAAAATGGAATTAAATTGGATTTGCTTACACCCTGATATCGGTCTATTTACCTTCAAAGCCTCACTCACAAATTGGCCCTCTTTCACTCGAACTGAAATGTATGCTCTCCTCACTGCCCTCATAGTATTCCCAAACAATATAGTAGTAGACGTCTACTTAGATAGCCAGGCAACAATTTATGGATTTAATAAATATGTGCTTTCCAACTATCTTTCTCTGAGAAAACTTGAAAAAGTTCCCAATTATATGATCTGGAATATTATACGATACATCACTAATCACCTCAACCTCCAAATTTCACTCCACAAAATCAAAGCACACACTAAAAATTATTACAACGAAATAGCAGACAGATTAGCTAAAGATGGATGCAATACACCTCCTCTATCCTTGCTACTTAATAATGTTTTCTCATTGGATCTCTCATTTTGCTTTAATAATATTCCTATTGAGGTCTCTATTAGAGGTTTTCTCAAGCAACTCTTTACCGCACAAGCTTTTGGCAACTTTCTGGATTTGAACAGGAATGATAAACTCAGAGTACTCACAGTCAATAAATCTATCAATTAGTTCACCATCTGGAACCTTTTTTCAATGAACACCTCTTCTCTCATCACATCCTTTGCTTCATGTAAGCTCAAATCATTCATAATTAAAAACTTCATTGACGAATTTCCTTCACTGTCACGCCTCTCATTATTATGACTTGATCTATATGAATACTGGCCTTGTGTGGGTTGCAACGTTGCTACTGAAACTGCTTTCTATATTTAGACATACCCATTATACTCCTCAAAAATTATAGACACGATCTCAGCTACCAAAAATGATCTTATTGACTAACTAAGCTCTTCTTACAGAGCCAGATACACAGCGCACTAAACTGAACTAAAGAACGTACTCAACAATACCTTCGCATCACCTTTAAATGCTTTTAATGGTTACACAGACATCATTCAATCCAGAATTCTGTCTTCCCTGATAGATATTGTTCACAAAATAGCTGCCAATAAAGAGCGATGCCTCTCTATCATTTCACGCTCGCTGCTCCTCTTCCACCAAATGCTATATGATAACGTTTGAAAATACTGTTGTAACTTATTAATCGCCAAAGAGCATTCAATGGGCATTACTAAACAAGATAAGCGTAAACGAAGTGCCAGTTCACCCTGCTTCACAGACAGATATCAAGCCCCTCTTTTAACTGGGAAACTTGAATACACCTTGCGAACAAATTTGGCTACGCATTTTCAGATTTTTAGATAGGCACTGATGTCTTCTTTATCTTTCCTTACTGATGTTAATTTTCATTAAGTATGCACTTAGTGGAGTTGATGGAGGGGAAAGACGATGATAAGTCGATTCAAATGGGTTTGTAATATAACTACGTGGGATAGCTAGTACTTAGCATAGATTTATTTTTGATTTACTTTGTATTTCCTTATATATAAATTTAATAAAGTTACTGGCAGTGCCACATCATTAAAAAAAAATCATCTACTATAACGAAGATTCTTATAACGAAGTTCTGATCGGCTGGATCAGCAACTTCGTTATATCGAGGTGTGACTGTATTTATATTTATTATATTAATATAATATATATAATATAAAAACTATATTAAAGGATTTGAACAAAATTATCTAATGTAGTTTGTTTTGAGTTATTAACATGTAATTTTAATATTTGATGCCTTAACTTCTGCAATATACTTAATTCATTTGAGTTAATACAAACATCTGATGAATGTTTAAAAAATAAAATAAGATTATTCAAATAACCTAAAGCTTTTGTTTCAGAAATTACTACTGGAGGCTCTTCATCTGGATCCATTTCTGATTTATTATTATTTTTTGACTTTATCATAGACACAATTTCATTATCAGTTAACCCTTCATTAATTTTCAAACAATCATCAATATGAAGAAATTTATCTACATCCATAAGATTATCAAATAGTAACTCGTTAATTAAATCTTGTAATTCCATTTCATCATATAATGTTTGATCTTCAATTTCACCAATTTCGTCCATTTCATTTAATGGTAGAATTCCTGTATGCTTCTAATAATTAATAATAGTTTGTTAACTTACAGAATTTTAAGCATTCATGCTGAAATCAATAGAATCATGAATATTTATAGGAGTAGGCTTTTTGTTAAGTTCTTGTGAAATTTCATATGGTTCAATTCTATTTCTAACAAGTAATTTCCAGTACTATGCCTAAATTATTAAGAATTTACCATGAATCAAATTAGATTTCATAAAAAAATTACTATTCCAAATTAATAATAAAAATTACTAACTTTAAAAGAATTAATGATCCTTGCATCACATAGTTATAAATGAGATGTAGTATTTGGTAGCAAAAAATGAACAACCACATTTATTAAATTAATATCTTCATTTATAATGTGTATGAGAGCATTGTTAACAAGTAAAAGGATATTGCGATTTTGTAATCTAATTTGCTTGTCCAATTTTTTAAGATAATCATTCCAAATACTAACTTGTATCCATGCAGTTGAATTCCAGTAATAATTTACTGGTAATTCTTCTTTTTTTTTCCCATTTAATGCTCGTGAATTCTGGTATTTATGAATGAATAATAGTTTTAATTTTTCAGTATCGGTAGCATTGCATGTAAGAAGTAAAGTAATCTGCTTTTTAGATTTCTTTGTTTCTGAAAGAGGCTCTTGTGCTAATGTTTTTGATAGTTCAAGATCCCAATACAATCCTAAAATAAGCGAATCTTAAAATATAAAAAATAGGAGTTTTATTAGAAAAAAAAACTTACCTGTTTCATCACAGTTAAAAACATTGTTTAGTCATAATCTTTAATAATTTCACGTAAAATATCTCTTTCTTTATCTAAGGTTTCTAATAGCGTACTTTTAGCTTCATCCCACTTAATGTATTCTTTTAAATTATGACATTTTTTAAATTTATCAATCCACCTATTAGAAAATGAAAATTTATTGATTTCAAATTGCTGAGCAAAATATTTTGCCTTTTTACGTAAAATATAAGTGTTAATGGTAAGTTTTGTAGCAAGTGCATTTATTACCCATAATGAAAGAGCTTCTTCTACTTGAAGAAAATAAATAGACCTTTCCTTCTGTTTATTTGCATCTTCAAAGTCTGAGTTTACAAGTAACCACTTTTCTTTTTTTTTAAAAATATCTGAAACAGTATTTTGCTTAACTTTATATAAAACAGCAAGTTCCTCTTGAGTATGACATGGCGTTTTCTGAGAATCTAAATAGAGTTGACACTTTTGTGTATATGTCAATACAACTCTTTTATTTGATTGGAAGGTATCTTGAACAGACTTCCTTTTTCTTTGTTGAGACATCGTTACTAGCTAAAATATGATATGTTAAAACAAAAAAAGCTAGTATATATGCTGGTGTAATTTGAAATATCAGTATATAGTACTATATATCACTTATTAAGGGACAAAGAAATTGCATCAGTATATGTTACATCATGAAATAATATATAATATCGGTATAGTGAGGTTTTTTTATTAATTGTGAAACGGGACAAAGGAAATTTATTAGTATATGTCAATTATCAGTATATAAACTATCAGTATATCGAGGTTAGACTGTATGTATCATGTATTGAATGTGAGAAACATTGTAATAATATAAGTGATGCTTTAAGGCATATCAGAAAATGGATAATATCAGTAGCAGAGTCAGATGATAATATATTACAAAAAAAGCTTCTATCTCTAATAACCTCTACATTAGCTATTTTTAACAATGAAATAATGGAAAAAAATTTATCAGAAATGGAAGTAATAAAACTTCTAAGCAAGTTACTTGTTAAAACAATATTAAAAATTGGAAAAGTTGAATCAAATAAATCAACAAAAGAAAAGTCTCATATCATAATTCTAGAAAAGGCTTCAATAATGAGAGAAGAATTAAGAAAAGAGGTTTTATTTTGCGTTCTAAAATTCAACAAAATATTAATTAATTAGAAAATTCAAACTCATATGAAAACTATTTTAATACATTACCCAAAACTATTTGCAATTTCTTTCAAGCTTTTATTACAGTATTACAACAATAAAAATAAAATGTTATTAATAAGAAAAGACTTCAACGTGAACTTTCTCCAAAATTATTTAATACAAATCAAATATTAAAAACTATTGCTTTATTAACCTTCTTAACATTAACTATTGCTTTTCCTGGAATAAAAATATGGCTTTTACATATTATTTCATCATTATGTTAAAAACTAAAATTGCTACCATACTTACAAGAAATCTTTCATTCAGCATATATTATATCTTATACTAAAAGGCATAAAAATCGTCTTGAACATTTTAGAATGCATCATACAGATCCTAAAGAAAATTTAATTAAAGAATCAAATATTTGAAATTTAGCAGTAATTGACAATATTGATTTCAAAGCTTCTACATTTTCATATGGTAATATTTTTGATGTTACATGATAAACTTCATATATAACATTATGAATGTTGTTTTAATTTATGATTCTAATCTTCTTTGATAATTTAATTGAAGATCATGAATCTGTTAATCAACTACTATTTAGAACGTCTTCAACTATCAATAACCTTTTAATGATATATGAGAATATTTTAAATATAATATTAGAGACTTATATAAATGAATTTAATATAGAAGATATATATTCAGAAATTATTAAGCAAATACCTATAAATTGCAACACTTTACCATCAAATGTTATGATATTGAAACTCAATAACATATTTAATTGTAATGAAAATGTTCATGCAGTATGTAAAATATACTATAATGATTTACCTTATGATAGTGATAGCCATCCATATATTGCATGTGATCAAGCAATTTTTAAAGATTAATCTTTTATAAAGAAACTCATAAGGATATTTGACTTCTTTTAGAACAGTGACACACATCTAAAGATATGTGTAGCACTTTAATTATAATATTCTTAAAATATGGAATATTCAACCTTGCAGTAACCCTTGATAACAATATTTAGATAAATTTGAACGCGTTATAGATTACTGTGCAATATATCATATATTAGAATTAATTTAGGTTGCAGTTGGATTTGCATTATGTCAACATATAAAAAACAAAGGAGAAATTATGAAGGATATTTTAAAGAGTAATAATCAATTCATAAAGGTGTGGTATCTTTTTTTCTGTTGGACAGGATATTTTATAGGTCATAAAATTGGAATTAGAAGAGGAAATTATAAAATGCAGATGTCAAATTTAGTAGCATTTGCTCCTCTCTTTCCTGCAGCTGAAAAATTTAAATACGCAAGTTCTGTAGCATATTTTTTAGCTCAAGTTCATGATAATCTATAATTACAAAAATTATTACAAATAGTATGTTCAGTAAATCTTGTAAGTGAAGGACATTATTTAGGTTTTTATAAAACACTTAAAACATATGATGTAAAGTTTATAAAGCAAAATATTACTGGAAATCTTACTGATCAGCCAACTATGATATTGAAGATTAAAGTAATCCAAAGTGAACGCAATTGTTTATTAATGCTTCTTGTAGAATACACTGATGATATTGTGATGAGTCAGAATGCTCGTGTAATTAAATTATGCAAAGATTCACTCTAGTCCTTAGTTACAAAATTATTATCTGTATTTGATCATCCAAATCCTACAATATACTATCTATTTGAAAATACATCAGAAGTTAATGAAAAGGGTATTAATAATATTCTTTCTTTTTATGAATTTGGCAAATCATATTTTCAACAAATTCTTATGCAGGATATATACAAAACTGAATCTCAGGTAATTGCTAGACGTCATACTCAAAATGTAAGTCATTATACTTACGCTCAACTTAAAGTATAAAAAAACAAAAAAATAAAGTAAATAATCCTATTTGTCTATTGATTGTTCAACAAAATACTTCATCTTCATCACAACAGGCATAATTATCCTCTAATATTAGCTATCCAAGAAAGTTACGTCACATTACTACAAATACGAAAAAAAGCTATACTTGACCAATTATTTGAATTTGAAGAAAAACTACCTAAAATTACAATATCAAAAGTATTATTAAAGCTTCAAACTACTTCTTTAGACAGGACAGCTGAAAGAGTTAAATAGTATTTAAGAAATAACTGTCATAAGGTTCAAAAATAAAATTAAGTAATATTAAACTGATACTTGCATATAATGATAAATAATAAATGTATTTTAATTATACTTCAATAATATATTAGAATACATATCTGAATTTTCCTTTATTATCCTGATATTACAATATTTATAAGTAAATATCTAAAAGTCACAAGTAAAGTGTCTTTATATCAATAATATCTTTTAAAATGCTCTTTATTTATAATCCTTTTAAAAAAAACTAGCTTAAAATTAAAGTACTTGAAAGAGAATCTTGAAATTTATGTTAAAAAATAGTATTTTTTAAGTTAAGTTTTACTTGATATAAAGTTAAACAACAAGTATATTTTTAATATAAAATAAAAATATAAAATTTGAAGAATAAAACTTGTTTAAGATCAAAATGTCATTTGCAATAAGCTAATCAAAGCATTTATACAAGAAAGTCATAGCATTATATATTACATAAAAATTAATTACTATTAAAATCGTCAAGAGGAACATGTCTCATGACTGTTATTTTATCAATCTTAAATTAATAATATATTTAAAGTTATAAAGAATTTGTTTAATAAAATTAAAAATTATATATATAAATTTTATTTTATAATTAGATTAAGAATTTAAGTAATTTTAAAAATCAAATTTAAGTTGAAAAAAATCTTTAGTTATTATTATGAAAAATATTTTGAAAAAGAATATTATTATATATTTAAATAAGTTATAAGAAAATAACTTAAATATAAAAATTTAAGTAGTATAAACTTTTAATATTATAATTTTTTTATATACATGTATGATATATTGTCAATTAAATCTTATTTATAATTTCACATAATTGATAAAAATTATCAATATTTTATTTAATAAAGTATTTTTGATAATATTAAGCAAAGAATATAAATATTATATCATATTAATATGATATTATAACGATTCATTTCATTTTAAAAAAAGAATTTTGTAATTATTTTACATAAGTATATAGTAATATTTATAATTATTAGAAGATTCTGAAGTAAATAATAAAAAATTTGAAATTAAAAAATTATAAAATTAACTTAAATTTTAAAAAATATTATTTTTTTTTATATAAATCTTATAATTAATCAATGATCATATATCTTACTCTAGAAGAGTACTTCAAAATATTAGTGAAAAGCCATTAAAATAACATTTTTCAACAATACCTAGTTAATATCACTAATAAATATAAAACTATTGAACATACCTTTGTATTCATAAAACCTTTCCTTGTCTTTATTTCACTAAAGTTATTAGTATTTTAGCATAATATCTATAAACATAATTTTATCTTTAACCTTACTAAAGTTATAAATTTTTTTTTTAAATTTCGTTTAAGCAGAAACAAAACTTTATTTGTTGGTATTTAATAGTATATTTAAAACTCAAGGAGTTAAAAAATAACTATTTTAAAAGGTAATATTTTGAAATTACTAAAAGGAAAGGGAACCTAGTTTAATTTGCTTTGATTCTAGAGGTCTATAATTTCATCTTAAATCAAAGATTTAGGATAAGAACGCTCTTATAAATATGGATGGTGATGGTTCTTTCAGTTCTATTTTTAGTTCCTCTTCGGTTCTGCTTCAACACTAGAAGCGTCAAGTTAAATCAATTGTTAATAATATTACTTTATTATTTATTTGTATTTTTTATAGTATGTATAGTATATGATACATCAAAATGTTAATAATTATCAATTTAAAAATTGATTTCTTACAAAGTCTCGTTTATTAAGTTGTTTATTACACAAGTCATGTAAATCTATTTAAACTTATATAATACAATTCGATAGTATTATCATCTAGATTCTTTTGTAATCAGTCATTTTGTTTTATTCCTATATGAAAATTGAAACGATAATGATCATGATCATTTGCGCATAATTCAAGTTTAATATAGCTTTTTTCTTATACTTTAATTTGATCATAAATTATCCATTTTGTAAACAGAAATTTTTTTATCCCAAATATGAAAAATTCGTATTTTTGTAAAAAAAAAAAGCAACCACTTCTTGCTCACATCTCAATTTCCCAAAAAAAATCTCTTCTTGAAAAAGATATAATCAATCATACCCATATACATTATGCTAGGAGTATTAGATATGTCGAAAAACCAAGTGACAACTTTGATAAGAGACAAAGAAGTGGTAGCAGTAAGGTTGATAGTTAAACCCGAAAGTATTTTAGTTATTATTTCTAAGGATGGGGACTGGCTTGATAAAGATAATAAGTATATCGAAAAAATAGAAAATTACCTGAAAGAAATATCAAACAATCCTATTCCATTGAAAAATGCCCCCAATGCTATCATGGTACGATGGACTCTGGCCAATTACTGGAAAGAGGAGTCTTTAACAACCTAATTCGGAATAGCCGTCCGACACAGTTGATACGCCCAGACCCCGAGAATTGAACTCAACCCCTAATTGTACCATAGACGCCACGAAAATAAAGTCGTGCAAGCTTACGCGATGATATATTGAAGTACTGTTCTGCTAAGATGGGTCTTTAATAGATATTGTAAAATGCGCATGTAAAAAACAGTACAAAAACCTATTTTTTAATTTGAAATTGGTTAAGTTGGATCCCAGTACAGATCAGAAATACATATTTTCATGAGAAACTATTATCAAACAGTTCATTCCTGATCCAAAAACTATGAAGATTTCAAAGAAGCATGTTGAAGGATTACGTCAAAGAAAGCAGATTAAAATATATATACGGTGTCGACGAAGGGACTGGAATACAATTGGATTTCGAAGATATTGAACAACGCGTGTATTTACACGCAGAAATGAACATATTGACATCTTAAACTGGAACTATAAAAAGAGGGCACTTTTAGCCAGTGATGGAAAATTATAAGGTCATTTACTATTTTCTAAATGACCTTTGGTCATTTTGAATTGAAATTTCTAATAAAAATGATGTCATTTGAGGTCATTTAAGGTCATTTCAAGGTCATTTGCCAACACTGCTTTTAGAAAATGTTGTTACTTATGTGAATTGTATATCCAATTTGCAAACAATAATGGATATAATGTCGTCGTCTCTGGGGCACATAAAAAGATTTATCATGCATGGGAACTTCCAGATATAGAAGATGTCAACTTCAAGAATGAATCCGTGTCATATATGATAGAACGTCTCGATCAGATCATGACGAATGAAACAGAAAGTATTACTAGTTTAATGGCGAAATCTGACTTGAAAGTACTAGAGCTACTCTCAAGAAATATTTTTCATAACTGTTTATTTGAGAGGGTTCTATTGTATGCTCGAATGTATTAATTTTTTTAGTCCTCTCACGATTAGCTCTTAATTGTATTCAGACAACGATTCTTTTTTTTGAAATTTGGAATGGCTAACAAATAAAGAAATAATTTTCAAATGTGCTAAATATATCACGATGGTAAATATGTAAGCTTTGACGTTGTACATCTATAAAGTCAGAAAAAAAATATACTTGCAGTGCGGATGTTATATGCAGGATCATTGCGATGTCAAGTTTAACATGAAGAATCTTCACACCTTAAGGTTATGAAAAACTGTCACGATCAGTGTTCGCATGAAATTTTTTTTGTTACGTGTGTGATATCATTAAATTGAAATTTTTTCTTTTACTTTCAATTAGCATTTTAGATCCAAATTTTCATTTGCAGTATAAAAACTGAACTATTTAGTCGTGTACGCAAATTTTTTCAGATATTGTCTCGATCCAACAAAATAATTGTTATACAAAAAAAAAAATATATGTAGCACCAGGTATCATGCGCATATATTGTGTATAAACACATGTTAATCTAAAAATTTTCGTCATATATTGAGAATTTGAGGTTAGTCCATTCCAAATGAAGGAAAAAAAACATTACTGCGCACAATCAACGGAATACGCAGTTTTTCAATTTATGCTCGGAAAAACCAAAAAAAAAAAATTATTATAACTGTGTACATTATAATTTGAGACAAAAAAAAAAAAATTTTTTTTCTTGCAATTATTTTGCTTTTTCATCTCGATACCAAGCCCTAACGCATAAAATCTCTTCGTTTATAAAAAAAATTTTTTTTATTTAGTAAGAAAGTTTTACCTTAAAATGACTCAAAAGCAAGAATATGTTCGTAAACAACCTACTAAAAGTGATGAAGAGATCGTATATGGTTCAAATTATAATTTTACTTTAGATATTGAAACGCTTTTAATAAACCCAATACCGAAAAAAAGAGTAAAATATTATAAGAAAACAGGATGTAATAAGCCACTACGTCCTCAAAAAAGTTTTAGTCTATATATTATTAACAAAGAAGCACAACTTGCTCTTGCCGGACTAAAACTAAATTCGGATGAGAAATCAAAGATAATTAGCAAAATGTGGAAAAACGAGCCTCGAAATATAAAGGAAATATTCGATGCACTTTATAGAATGAATAAAGCATTTCATATCAAAAAATGTGGAATAAATCAATCTCAACCGAGGCAACAAAAAAAAGAAACTAGATTAATCGAATCAAATTTTTCACCGTCGGTTTTTGATAATAATCTTCAAGAACCAGCTTCTTCCTTCCCACCACCGAAGCTTTATAGTAACAATGCTCAACATATGACAGATTTTGAATTGTTCCCGGACTCAACTTCTATGGAGGTTGATAATGACATTTTTCAAGATTTTAATTATAATTTTGATTTTGAATTGTTCTCGGCTGCTTCCTCTCCGGAAACATCAACAGGTTTTTATAACGACGATTTTAAAGGTGAAATGAATTTGTTCTCATCGTTGAATGCGATTGAATCAAAGGATACAACGCCCGTTACAGAACAAATTGATAACGATAACTTATATCATGATCTATCAGATATAAGAACAACTCACCAAGAACATCTCAAAGGTACTTTATCTAACAAAGAAGGCTAATTTTTCTTTATCTCGTCAAGAATTTCCTTCTAACAATTTTTACATTTCAATTTATTTTATAGATAATTATTTAAATTTTAAAGATTATAGAAATTTTTCAAAAATTATTTAATCAAGTATTCTCATAAATTGTCACATTTTTTATCCTTTCCTTTAACGATGACATTTGTGGCAATATATGAAGATACTTGATTAAATAACTGTTGAAAATTTCTGATCTTTAAAGTTTGAAATAATTGTACTTCTACACAGAAATCTTTTTTATTCAATTTTTTTTTTTTTGATTTTCTTTCTTTTATTTAAGGTTTAAATATCAAAATGGTATATTTTATTTTGTTTTGTTATTTGTTAATAAAGCAATACTGAATTTTCATATTATTAAAATAAATTTGCTCTTTCAATATGTTCATTATAAAATTAAAGATTTAAACATAAATTCATCTAATTCCAATTCTTAAAGCTTGAAATATATTTCTCGCTAATTGGTAGATAATTACGATAACAGTGAACGGGTGTAATTCCTGTCAAAATTAAAACATAATTATGGTTTGGAATCAACGACGTTTTTTTTTTTTCTGTTTCAATACAACACGGCATTTTTAATCAACAAAGTTAAGTTAGTTTAAATAGCGTATATTGAAATTTTTATATATTTCTGTAAACAAATAACATCTGTACAAGGTTTATTTATTCTTGAAAATATTATTATTATATATAGGTGCTTTACAGTAAGAAGGGGAGGAAACTATAAAAAAAAAAATATATTTACTTTACATGCTAATGTTTTGTAAAAAAAAAATTTTTTTTAGAGTTTCTTCCCTTGCTACTGTAAAGCACCCATATTACAAATCAACTGGCCTTGAAATTTTGATTAGGTAAATTAGAATGAAGGTTTGGTTTAAAATATCTTGGGAAGGAGGAATAAAGAATATTCTATAGGTCCAAAATAAAAGAGTTTCCAGGACTCAATCCGGAGAAAGTCTGATTTAAAAGCTTGCCGTCCCGAAATGTCTTAAACTTGCAATGTAAAAAAAAAAAGAAAAATTATATATATATAATTATTACGATTACCATTAACGTAACGGATCCTGATACTAAAAAATATTTGATGATTTTAAAGTGAAATGTGTGAAGAACGAAAAGAAAATGTTTTATAATGACACTATCTACAATTTAAAATTTAGTCCGTCACTTTCTATTAATAATTATCAATCTTCAATTCAAAATAAATTTGATTCGACAAGCTAAATTTGACTCGACTGGTTTTGTGACTTTTTTTTGTTTGCTTTTGCGGTTCGGTTGGTATTTAACTTTTCCATATCGTTCAATGTATTTTACTTCAGCCATCCTAGAAAGTGCAGAAAACACTTCTTTAACATTTTCTGGTTCACCTTTCCACAATTCGCTAATAATCTTTGATTTCTCGGCAGATTTTAGTCCGACAAGGTCAAGCTCCGCTGTCTTGTTTCTACGATATAAAATAAAACTATTTTGAGGACGTGGTGGCCTAATAAATCCTGTCTTCTTATAATTTTTTGCTCTTTCCCTCGTCATTGGGTTTATTAAAAGTGTTTCGATATCTAAAGTAAAATCATAATTTGAAACGATCTCTTCATCGCTCTTGGTGGTCCCGAAACGAAAATCATGAATACCTTCTAGCTGTTTAGTGTTTGGTGACATTTTTTTTAAGATGAATGATAAAGTAAGAAAAAATTTTTTTTTTTTTTGTTTGAGAGAAAAAAAGATCCTTTTATCAGAGAATTTTTGGGCTTTTGTTAATAAATTAGGGAATTAATTTATCTAAACAAAACAAGTGTACCTATCAAATTTTTTTTTTTTTCAAACAAAAAAAAAAAGATTATTCAAGCAAACAATAAGAATGAAATCTTAATAATCTTATTAGGATTGGGATCTTGTGAACAATAAAAGGTCAGAAATGGCCTAGTTTTACGTAAATCTTCCCCATATGAAAAGGGCAAGGGGGTACTTACAGGTGAATGAAGTAAAAAAACACACATAATTAATAGTAAGTGACTGCATCGAGAGCCAGGAATGGTATACAAAATATGAAAATTCGGATTGTGAGGCTTTTTTCCTTTTCCAAGTTTATATATATTGTTCGAAGATATGGATTGTCATTTATCTAAAATGGGATGATCATTTCAAATAGGTAAACAATATAATATATGTCCTTGAAAAAAGTAATGGTTAATAATTATGTGGAATATCCATCATATCTTCATATCATGGTTTCACCCTATTCCGCGGATGATCAACGTTAGTTTAATAGAGTTTAGATTTTCATATATCACGTAGCCTTCTTTCACACATTCTTACGTCTGAAAAAAGTAAAGAAAAGAAAAGAAACAATGTCACAAACAACGGTAAATAAATATAATTTTTGTTCTTCACGTTTTTATTATAGTAGTTAATCCAAATTATATTTATATCAAGTCATCGGAGCAAACATCACCTTTGTTTAAAGCTCGCACCAAAAATCCTAAGCGATTTTATGAAATCATCAAGGGCGTTAGCTTGAAAAATAAAGTAAAGAACTAATTTATTTTTTTTTTACCTTTTTTTTTTTTTTTATACAATTGGTTTATTTAATTAATTAATTTTTTTTTTTTTTAGGACTTGGGTTACTTATCTATAAATCCCGATGGTATATCTGTGAAAGCCGGCGCGTTAGGACAGTTCCAAGGTAAATTTATTATTTTTTTTTTATTATTTTTTTTTTCTATATTTTAATATGCATTACCTTTTTTTTTTGTCTTAGCTGTATCGTTCGTTCCACGTGAATTCTTCCATTCGTATATTTTTAATGGAACGGAACCGATCGTAATCGTTGTTGCATTAAAAGATCTGTATTGGGTGTTAGGGATTGCCCAAGATAATTTCTCTTCACAGGGAGATATAGAAGAATTTGTTCCTTTACAAGGTTCTTTTTATGAATCAGAACAAGGTCGACAACAAAGAGAAGAGAATGAGGATGAAAATGAGGATAATGATAATTTCAATTATAAAAGTTACGAAGCAACGATTGAATATGAGAAAGAGGGATCGACATTAAATGTCGAATTATTTGATGATACGAGTTCAAATTCCATTGAAATAGTTCCTTTGTTACAAAATCCTATAGGCGATATTCCTGAACCAAACGATCGGGTCATGTTTTTTGAGATGTTATGCAGCGACTTGAAGATGATTCTTAAAGATTGCATAAAAACCGGATCTAAGTTTGAATTACATGGATTCAAACATGACGTTATTGCATTGAGATTCATAAGTCGCAACGAATCTCGATTCGTTGAGGTAAATTCGGTTCTTTTCTAGTAAATTGAAATTTTTTATATCCAATTGAATTTTCTCAAAAGCGAATGATTAATTAGAATGACGTTAGAGCTGAAGCATGTTTTCAATGTAGAATCGAAGAAGACTTTCAGTTCACGTATGTAAAATTTCTTTTTTTTTTTAAAAAAAAAAAAAAGGATATACAGGAATCATCTAACATAATTTTTTATTTGTAATAGATATTCACACAATTGTATACAACCCCTGTTATCATTGCCGGTCGATAAGAAAAGTAATATAGAAGTGATGATCTATAGAAACGGATTAATGAATCTCAAATTTAGACCCGTTGATGTACATAATTCATACGTGAATTATATGGTAAGTAATGTTTGAATATTTCGGTGTTTAATATTAATATTTACATCCTAAAATGTTTTTAAAAAATAGATGATGACAATGATTGATGATGATGAGTGATTCAAAAAGCAAGAAGAATAATACATTACTTATATTTGGCCACAAATTCTTCTGCAAATTTCCCTTTTTCTGACAAAATAATAAAATTTGGAATTCCATCTTTAACAACATATTTAGGATGAGATAAAGCTGCTTTGAGGGTACATTTCTTTCCAATCTTAAATAATTTGGTCGTCGGCAAACCATTACCGATTGTGGGTAAATGATATTCGAAATAAATAGCAATATTATAGGGTGTGTATTTTTTTTCATTGTCCCATGAGGCATGTTGCTCAAACATTACTTTAAAATGATCTAAAAATGTTTCCACTTCATTAAATGATTCGATAAAATCAGATTCTTTATATTCTGGATATGAAAAGACTACTGCCCAAATTAAATTATTTGTTTCTTTATCTAATCGAACGTTCTTTAGTAATGCTTGCGTTTTTGAAGTATTAACCATTTTTATATTTCTTCCCTATTGTAAATTTATCGTAGTATTAAAAAAAAAAAAAATGCAAAGTGGCTTGATTCGTAAAAGAAAAAAAAAACTCAGATTACCTCTATAGCTCTTGCTAATTCTTCTTTCGATTCACGTTCCTTTCGTTCGCGTTCTTCTTTTTCTCGGCGTTTTTTTTCCAAAATTTCTTTTCTATTTAAACACTTTACTTTTTCATTTTGTAATACTTTATTATTCGGCTGTACCTATTTGACATAGCTAATTAGTTGAGGAATAGTAATAATAAATTTTTATTGATTATATGTTTACCGCAAGTCCATGTTCACAACAATCGATAGCTTCTTCGATTTTATCAAGAGCATATAATGCTTTTGCAGAACGATAATACGCCTTGATATTTTGTGGATTTAACTTTAATGCTTTTGAACAATCTGCTAAAACTTTTCTATAATTTTCTATCCTTCACCGAAAAACTAATTAATTAGTTGATATCGATCGGTTGTGTTTTTTTTTAAAAAAAAGGGAATCAGTAAACCTATAGAATACCTAATTCCAGGTTAACAGCAGCCCTGTTGGTTAAACACGCTTCAATAATTTTATCATCTTTACATTTTATGTCTAACGCCTTTGTGTAATATTCTAAAGCATCATTATATTGTGATTTACCAACTTTAAAGCATTCATTTCCTTGATTCTTAAAATTTTCTGCTATCTCTATCACATTCATAAGACAAAGGTTAAAAGGTAAATTATCTTTTCCTTTTAGCAAGCAAAAGTTTTGATGAAATCATGTACCTTCAGGAGGACCATCATATATGAGAGTTTGTAAAGCAGCTAAAGTATCGCTCTCCTCTTCCGGCATTTCAGTCATGAATAAAGGCACTTTATTCATCTCTTTAAGTAGGTCACCTTCTTTGAAACCTCCATCGATTTTTGGTCTTTGTGGTCCTGGTACATTTGTCATTATTATCAATAATTTTTTATCGAGGATAAAAATTTTAGATAATCGGTCACTCTGGCGCATTTATTCATGTGATTGATTTTACGCCATTAAAAGAAAAATTCCAAAAATTACTATTGTATTACAAAATTTACACTTGTTTAATTTGGTAATAATTCCGATGAGTTGTTTCAATTAAAATAATTTTTTTTTTTTTTAATTAAGGGGTAAATAAAGTGGGTCAAATTTCAAAATGCTGGCCCATTAACCCATTAATTCATTAATTGATGCTTAAAAAAAAAAAAATGAATGTAATAAATAGATAAAGACAATAAAGACATGGCTTTATATGGTAAAAATGTTTCGGAGTCCAAATTTATATTTATATTTACATGTACAAATTTTATTTATTTATTACACGATTCTCAAGTTTTTATATTCAAAAAAAAAGAATTTTCCATAGAACTTAAAAATCTCCCTTTGATATATATTTCTAAATAAAAAAAACCCTTTACGAAACAGGACGTTTTCTTTCTTTTAATATTATAACCGAGTTATGGTCATTTGAGAGTAGCACCTTTTTTTTTTTCATAATCATTTTAACAATTAAATAATGCCCTTCACGTTATCAGTACCAAGGCCAGAGGTTGAACCTTCTCGACCTCAACATATTCAAAGAGCGAACAGCCCTTTGGCGGCAAACCATACTGCAACTACCACAAATCATTATCCTCGAAGGCAAAGAAATGTATTTAGTACATTAACAGAATTGATACAAACGAATTCAATGGTCCGTTATGGTACCTTAATATTTTTAGTAGCGTTGATTAGTGTATTATACTTTGCTACGACACATCAGGCAATTAGACCAACAGGCTCGGGTCCAACAATAATAAGTGAATATTTAACCGTCGCGCCAGATAAACCTCCAACCAGGTCATTAGAAGATGGATTTCCTATATCAGAAGGTAGTACTGAACCATTTGGTTCTTTTGAAGCTTCTGGCAAAGGAGATGTGCAACAAGTAGTTGAAGGTAAACTTCATAATAATACAAATCAAGGTATAAGGGGTGTATTATATGATCGTGGAGATGGTTGTCAAAGTATTAAATTTAATACGGCCGATTCACCACCTACGGGGATTGTTCCATCAATTCCATTACCCAACGTCTTCACACCTTATAAAATTAGTTTAATATCTTCTGATGTATCAAATTGTATGTTCGATCAAAAAATCACCATGTCAAAGAGCGATGGTGATAAAGCGATAATCGTTCTTGTAGAAAGTAATTCGGATGAAGAATATTTATTAGCGTTAAACTCTGATATTCCTATATTTACCATCAATAAATCATCAGGTGAAAGTTTTAAAACGGAATTAGAGAGGTTATATCAGGCAAAACCCAATGATTCATCATCATTATATAAGGTATTAATTGTAACCTTAAAACCTTATCGTCAATTTGTTGTCAATTCTTGGCTATTTGCCATGTTTGCTGTTGGTGGTATTTTAGTTGCATCATTCTTTGTTTCCATTTTAATTCACATGAGATTATATCGTTTAAGAAGGAATCAACAGCTTGAAATCAGAAGGCAACGAGCTGCTGATGAAGTTTTAGGGATGAAAAAATGGACGTTGGAAAAAGATATCATCGACACCTTTCCTATCATCATTTATGATAAAAAATCTGGTTCAACTTCAGAGGAGCAAAAGATTTCTTCTGATATGGTTGCACTACCATCAACTAATGAGAAAGAGGATAGCGATTCGATAACAAAGAATGAGAATGATGAACCTAATTTGACGACGAATCGACAACTTCGTCATTCAATTTCAATACCATCAACAGGACAACTTCACCGTACAATTTCCACTCGATCAACACGTTCAACAAAGTCAACAAGGTCACTTCGCGCAGTCATTAATGCGACGAATTTATACAAATCAACATCAATTCCAACCACCCCAGTTACCCCGACTAATTCAACTACTCCAACTACCCCAACTACTTCTACTACTCCAACTACTCCAACTACTCCAGCGGCCACAACTGCCGCAACTAATCAAATTACCCCAACCACCCCAACTCATCAAACTAACACAGATATCACAACCATCCCAGCTAATCAAACTTCTCCAACAGTAACGAGTGCTTCAACTGATGATGATACAGATACATGTGCAATATGTTTGGAGGATTTTGAAAATGGAGAAGAAATAAGAGAATTACCTTGTAAACATTGGTATCATATAGAATGTATTGATCCTTGGTTAACAACAAAAAGTAGTTCGTGTCCTTTATGCAAAAAAGATTGTAGACCAAATCAAAATGATGAAATTATTATTGATGGTTTAACAAGTCAAGAAGATAGCAATAATGAAAGCGATGTCAATAATGTTTTTGTTAGAATGGGTAAAGTATTTGGTAGATTGTTTGGGAAGAGGTCAACAAGTGTAAGGCCAGCAGATACACGACAACAACCGAATGATAGTACTGTAGTTGAACTAGCATAGGAAAATATTGATTCTTTGAGGTCATAACAATCATGGGAATTGGTTAATAATCTGAACATCCCTTTTTATTTTATATATAAATATATATATCTTTGTTTTTTTTTTACCTATTTTCTTTAACTTTTACAAGCTTTTTCTGTAATTTATATTGAGAAGTTTAAGAATGGGTTGGTGTATATTTTATTTTTTTGCAATTTTAGTAAAAATTTTTATAATTACAAAAAAAATATATATTTGACATTTGATTTATATGTCAAATAAACTTTTCATTAAAAAAAAAAAAAAAAATTTTAATAAATTCTTTTAAATATTTCAAGTTTATATATTTTCATTGAACCATTAAAGGAATCATTCATTTATTTATTATAATAACTTTAACATTTATGATAAAAGTTATTTTTTTTTGAAATTATAATTATTATTTATATTGTAAAAACTTTTAATTTGTAAAGTTTCTGTAAATTTAAATATCTGCTTTTCTACTATTATAAATAAAAAAAAAAAAAAAGTTATTTATAAAATTTTAATATTATTTAATTATATTAATTTATATAATTAAATTAAATGATATCAAAATCAATTATTAAAGATTAACATTACTATAAAAATTTAAAACTAATAATTTTATTAAATAAAAAGTTAACTTTTTGATAAAAATTTAATTTAAATATTATATTAATCATCTTTATAAATTAGTATAATTTTTAAAAGAAAATTTCTTAGTAAATATAAGATATATGAATATAGGTTATATAATATATATAAACTTATGTGAAGTTGCATTTAGTTTAGAGTTGGTTAATATTAGTATACAGATTATTTATTATTTATTAAACTACATCACATCTTATTATATTTTAAACTTACTAGAAGTTTAAAAAATATTGTAACATATTAATTTAATCATTATTAATACAATACAATAGGTATTAAAACATCAAGAAAAAATAAAATAAATATAAATATTAAATTACAACTTAATAAAAGTTCTTTTAAGTTGTAATTATATTAATAATAATTGATTTAATTCTTTGCAACTATATATAAATTCTATTAATATATTATTTGTTAATTGTTAATGATAGTTAGTTTTAATAATAAGGATACTTAATTATAATTATGTAAAAATTTTACTAATAAATTATTTATAATCTATTAATCATTATAATTAATTGTAGCACTTTATTATCTATGATTATATTAATAATTTATAGTAAACATGTCAAAAAGGAGATGTTTTAGATAAAATATAAACATCTTTTAAAATAAAAAAGTAAAAGTTAATAGATCTTCAAGTATATAAGTAATATTATTATCATTTAATAATGGAATTTATATATGTAATTATTTTACTGCAGATTAGTATTAATCAATTAGATTAAAATTAGATTAATAGGATTATTAAATTAAATTATTAGATATATAAGTCTAATGATTGAACTTTTCAAACTAAATTAAAAATATATAAATATATTATGTTATATATTTCAAAGTAACTAGAGAATATTATCACTTTAAATAAATATGAGAATGAATAAAGTAAATAGAATATCATATATAATATAATTATATTATATGTGGTATTTACTTATCCTAGTTTATACAGTAGCGGTCATAAGTATCTGACTGCCTGAGATTATCTAAAATTATTATATAACTACCTCTTAAATTTTCTAGAAATATAATGTAATACAATACATAATCACCTGTAAATTTATAAGTGTCAATGATACAAAAAAA